GACGGGGTTTCACCATGTTGACCAGGATGGTCTCGATCTCTTGACCTCGTGATCCACCCGCCTCGGCCTCCCAAAGTGCTGGGATTACAGGCTTGAGCCACCGCGCCCGGCCTTTTTGTTGTTATGTTTAAAACCATAAGTGAGATTTTTTTAAAAAATGTATTTTACAACTAATCTGATGAATTTTTATTGAATAATTTTATTTTCTCTCTCTCTTCTCTACAGTGTGGGGTTTTCTTTTTCTTGTTCTCCAACACAAACTACCAGCTGCGGCCTACCAGGATCTTTTCCCAAACATTGCATGTAACTTAAGATACCATGTCTGTTTTCCTCAGTACCCCAGACTGACATTTCAACAAGTACTTCTCATCATGGCTTTTGCAGAAGCTCTGAAAAAGCATCTGGGGCATAACGACATTATCAGATTTTTAGGGTGGATGATGGAAATAGGACATTTGCTTTAACCCTTCCCAGCAACAAAACAAGAAACCAACTTACTGTCTTCCTACATCAATCAAGCCGAATGGATTCTGAAATTTATTTCTTCACAGGGTATGATGGGTGAGTGTGGTAATTCACAATCACAAATGCTGCTGGAATTCATTGCAAACCTCAAAGACTTGTGCCATCTAGGCCTAATCTGGTGGTCCAGTGCCCCTGCTCTTCATGTTCCAATGGGAGATTAGCAGCCCATGTGGTATTTTCATGGTACTGTACAGCCCTATCTCACAGAAGAGACCTTTCTGTCTGTGATCCATGCATTCCCACAATTGTTATGATCGTGTCATAGTTCATATTCAGAGCCTTCTCATTTATTTCCTACTCAGTGCACAGGAGTTTATTAGACCTTTTCATGAGGATAAGAGGAAGCAGAGAACACTGGGCAGGAAGGATGGAGAACAGAGTCTTTAGGAACAGGGTCCTGGAGATTAGGGCCAAACTCTGACCCCTGACAATTTTGCATAATATCAGCACTGGCACAAGTCTACCATGTTGAGGTTAGCCTATCCCAGTTAACTGAGAACAAACAGGGCAAGAATTACTCGCCTTTTGTTATTTCTGAAACCTGAACTGCTTTTAGAAATAAAGGCTGGAATGTTCCATAGGAACTCAGAGCATGGGACACGGGCATGGCACACACTCGGTTGGGCTATTTAAAAACCGGTCCCTTGGCTTCCCTCTGTGATTCTAAATACGTGTAATCACATTACCCTGCAGCAGCCGGTAACTATTTCTATAACATTGTCCAGCATCTGTGCTTGCCGTGACTGGGTCCACTCAACAAAAACAAAGTGGAGATGTGGTAACTGATTAGGTTAATCACTCCGGCTTTCTGTGCCACAGCTAATGTCCATCTAGTGTTGACTGACACTACTCCTTCAATTTTAAGGACTGATCTATTTATCCTAGGGGAAGGGAGGTGCCTTAGCATATCAAAAGATGCTTTTTAAATGAGCCATTTATTTATTTAACAAGTGACACCATAAGCACAATTTATCACTTTCTCAGAGGCAGCAAATTCTTATTCTATGGAAGGACCCCAGCATTAGAGACTCTGCCCCTTTCTGTGGGAAAGAATCTATCTTTTTTGGATTTGTTTGATGTACTAACACTTTCCCCAATCACACCACTAGCTATCAATCAAATAGATAAATACCTTAGGAATATCTAGTCAATTGTTAATCATTTGAAGACATCAGCTAGGAGAAGGACATTAGCCAACATCATTACATAATGTCAAAACATCTGATCAAGTTTGTGAATTCAATGAAAGAGTCAAACCAGTTCAAGGATTTCATTTGGACAAAACAATAGATTGAGTGACTTTTAGCTTTTTAGCTTGATGTAAAATTTTAAAACCCTGCCATTTATAAAATGTATAAGCATTCGCCGTACCCTATGGCAAGTGTTTTATCTACTTAAACCTTGGAAGTATGTGTTCTCACTTCCATTTTACAGATAAGGAGACTGAGGCTCAGTGAGATTTAGTAATCTGCACAAGACTACATGTTTAGGTTCTATGAGTGTCAGGGTGAGGTTTAAACACTTGTCTCTCCAATGGCAACTCCATGCTGTTTGCCTGTGTATGTAACTTCAAACAGCCAAAACAGCCAAGTAAGGCAAGAAAACCAAAAGACTAAAAAACAAACAAGTGAAAGCCTTGGGTCCTGAATCATGCCGTTAAGATAGCCAAGACTCAGACGATCCACAATTGGCTAGTTCTGCCCATATCTGTCCAGCTACAAACCAAGTCTGTTGCCTGATACCTGAGTCCTGGGAGACCTCTCTACCCCCACGTGATGCTGCTGTAAGAACCAGGACTCCAATAGTCAAACGTTACACATCAAAACAAATTATACATGTTCCATTATGCCTGTGAACAGATCTGATTTCTTAGTCAAATATTATTTTTTTGAATATTTTCAGGCATAGACTGAATATGTGGTTCCCTTGTGGCCAACTCAAAACACATAGCAGAGAGTAATCCTTTGCACTATCCTATATTAATATTTTCTTTCCCTCCTTGGAAGGGAACTAGTTATAAATTAGATGAGATTAAAAAACAATCTCTTGAGAATTGATATTTTAAGGAATTACCTAGAAAGAACGGAGGTGTTTTTTTTCCCCACATGGTAAATCATACAGAGTAGCAGCCTGCCCCAGATCCCCAGGATACAACATCTTGAGCGCATATGTTATGCTGGGTTCTGTATTGACTAATTCAAAAACTCCAGGGCAAAAGAACCAAAGTTCCCAAGTTAAAAATGAAAGTAAAATAGTGGAATGGAATTGGGATCATTGTTGCAACATTCTGACAACTTCATAAATAGCCATGAGAGTAGACAGCACGACAGGTTAACAAATTTACCATTGTAAGAATCAACCTGCTCTGTTAGTGTGAAGTCCCAAACAAACCCATCTACCTCTCACTGTACTGATATTGTTTGTTTTGTTTTTTTTTTCAGAAATAGAATCACATTTGACAAAATTAATATTGAGATCATTTTACTAGAAGGCTTATCCAAATATATGTCATATTAAAAATAGTCATGATATAAATATTTCTCACAAGAGCTGCAGCGATGGTGTGAATAAAAAACTCCCTTCTGAGATTTCAGTAAAACCAGATCTCACAAAGGATCTGAAAGAAAACAAAAAACACAAAACAAACAAACAGACACACACAAAGACACACACACACACACAGAACAAACCTTAGGTTAATCCGGTTTAGCATAACAGTGACTATTTTGACACTATTTTATGAAGTACAATACTATTCCTTCCCAGATGAAGTCAGAGAAATGAATCGGCTACAGGTTTCTCATGATAATGTTCAGGGCTGGGGAGATCTAAGCATGTTCAGTAGCAGCTAAAAAAAAAAAAAAAATCAAAATTTCTAAATGCAGCAAATGTTAGCACTGTCAAATGGCCAAGCATGCAAGAGGAATCTCTCTCTCTCCATGCCCTTCTACGAATACATGCAAAGCCCCAAATCCACCGGCTGGAATTTTTAAATTGTAAATTAGATATCAAAATGCTTACGGGCCTTACAATGAGGTAACATCAGGAGGAACGGTGCGTGGAATGGATCTGGCATTCTCACATAAAGCATTATCTTTGGTACAAGTACACACGGCAGGGCATTTTGGCTTCGCTGGTTTCTTCCCCTCAGTCAGCAAAAGCGCAGATAAGAGACATAGGAAATAAGCAATTCTTTTCAGGGGAATGCAGGCATTTCCCATCCTTTTGCTTCTTTCTGATTCCATGCAGTCGAGAAAATATCCCCAACCATGAACAGGGCTTCTGGAATTCAGATGGTGATTGTCTGGCTCTAGGAGCAGGTCACATAGGAGTCCACCCTTTTTCCTCTGCCTCTGTATCTCTGCTTTTTCAAAACAGGGACCTGCAGCTGATTCGTGAGCTTCTCCTCGCTCCAGCAATGCACTGCTCGGGGGAAGAGACCTGTGAGGTACTGTGAGATGGGAGGGATCCAACTGCTGGAGGAGAGAGCCGACTTGCATCACCAGGAAAACACTGAGCACAGACCAGCCTTCGAAGGCAAAGCGAAGTGATGTCACAGAAAATAAACAGCTTTCTGCTTTCACCGGGAGGCCCTTTAATTGTTACCAAAAATAGGACGGCATTATGTCTTATTAGTGAGTGGGTGGGCGCGTGGGTGGGAGCAGTCATCTTGCATAGGATGTCGGCAATCTCAGAAACCTCTGGGAATTGGCTTTGCATGTAGCAAACAACCTAGTAAGAAAAACTAGCTTTGGAGCCAGCCCTGTGGCTGGAAAAAAAAATGAAGTTAAATGAAACTCTCTCTGCAACATTGGCTAAAACCTTTTGCTGTTTCTTGCTGAGCCCACCTGGCTGATGCCATCAGGGAAAGACAAATCAGAGCAGATGAATAATGTGACTTTCAAGGGATAAATGTGAGTAAATACTTTTCTGACACTTATTAACTGCCATGAATGATTGATTTTCCTGTCCCCCCTGCATCCCCCATGTAATGCATTCCCTCCTTCCTTGACAAGGAAGGGAAACACAAGTGCGGACCTCTCTGTGTATAATCTACTCTCCTCTGATTCTCCCACCCTCCCTGCTTTGGCAGTAGCACCAGAAGCCTGGAAGGAACTCCCTGCCAGCAGGAGGCGGCCAACTCTAGCTTCCTGGGCTTTGAAAAACGCCTGGCTCAGCCCGGAGGCTGTGACATGGTGGGGGAAATGCTGGACTAAGAACCAGACACCTGGCTTTGAGAACCCAGGTCTGCTGTGAACTGGCTGAATCTACTCTCCTGTCTGTAAAATGGGGATGGTAGCAGAGACATTCTGGAATTACATGAAAATGATAGACTATGTTACTCATGTACTGGAGAGGAGAGGGTGGGCCCTTGGAAAAGAAAATTCATTTAAAGAAGCAATCAAGAGGCCCTGGCTTTGGGCTGGGGTGGTTTAGTCCAAGAGAGTAGGACGACTCTTGGGATGGAGGAAGAGGAGGAAAACAGACCCCTGGTTATCTCACCATGGTGAAGGCGGCCATCCTTCAACTTGGCGTGGCCAGCCTGGGATATCAGGCCATGTTCCTCTCTCCTCTAGCTTCTTAGACTGAAAGTATTAAAAGGACTGCTTGAGCAAATGGGTGATTTTGACATAACCTCATTCTGCATCAGAGCTTAAAGCGTTGCCATTCTACCCTTTGCTCATGCAGCCAGTCCCATGCTAACTTCAATCACTTGTTCAGTTCTCTGTAAGCTCTTTGCCGGGGACAGTGGCATTCAGGTGCATTCTCGAATTCGATAACTGTCTGTTTGCCCCAGAAGACTGCAAGGTCCATGAAGTTAGAGACCCTCTAGGAACCCAGGGCCTACGTAGCATTGTGCATGTAGTGGGCAACCCGGATGCCTATGCCAGCAATAACAGCGAGTGTACAGTCCATTCATGGTCATGCTCAGCCAAATAAAATTCCAGTTGCACCTTGCAGTTCTAGTAAAGAGATCTCACCTAGTCAAGGAAGTCAGGGGCCCATTCCCTGAAGAAGCATTGATTGAGCTGAGTTCTGAGGTAAGGAGGAATAACAGAGAGGGTTGGTGAGAACACTCCAGCTAGAAGGAACAGCATACATAAAGTCCACTTCGTGATCTGCTGAGCAATGGCACGCCTCTGCAGAATCAGGCAGAGGGGTGATATTACCTGGTTTGTGTTACAAAATGACCAGTAGGTTATTATCACTAAGCTAGTTTTTGTGGGGTTGTAAATACTGTGTGGTGTTTTTCTTTACAGAAGGGAAACAGAAAACCTCTTCAAGAGAAGTCATGATTTGCAAGTCTGTTCTACGAATGCTTCACTGACAAGGACTCTGTGGAGGAGGGAATGGAGGACAGTGTTTTGAGAAACTGTGACCTCTGGACAAGCCTCACTTTAAACAGTAAGTGTCATTTAAAAGTTGGCTGCAAGTCAGGTTTTTGTAAATTGAACCCTGCTTCAAGTGCCCAGTGGAAACTTGCTCCATAAAATAATTATGTGGTAAAAGTTTTATGGAGGATCGTTTTTATTCGAAGTCACCCCCTAAATCATCTAACTTGTAAATGATGTGTTCTTTAACTACAAAATGAAGAACCCGAGAAGCTTCAGGGACCTCAAAGATCTTGGATTCGATCCTTGCATATTACAGATGGAGAAACTGATGTGTGGAGAGACCACACAGAGGCCACCATCCTGCATGGGGCGAGACCCAATGGCAGAAACTTGGTTAAAATGACTGATGGAATTGATCGGGCTAAGTTACTACGTTTCACTTTCAAATGTTTCAAATCATGAAGACTGCTTGACTAGCTGTTGGCTTTGTGCTATGAAGGCACAGCCAAGGAAGGGGTGAGCTGGCTTTTTCTTTTGACTTGGTAAAGCCAGGAAGGCAGATGAATGAGGGGAAGAAGTCATACACACACTGTTCACTTTGCAGCTGTATTTATCTTGCGGTTCAGTTTGTCAGCTCAAGGGGGAGAAAGACCATTGGGGAAGGGAGGTGTGGGGAGGAGAAACTCTAAGGGCAAATTACAATGCGCATTCTGAAAAGACAGTAACGTTTTCTTTTTCTATGGCATTTAAAACCCAGACTTGAATTCTTTATTCAATTAAAAACACCCACTAAGGTCAGGCAAAATTTAACCATGTAATGCAGGATGCTGGCGACCTTTTGGGGAGGAGAAACCACTTCCTGGCCCCGGAACTGGATCTGAGGAGGGACCTGGGGAGATGAAGGCAGGTTGCTACACTGAAGTCTTGAGAGCCTGAAGAGGAGGCCCTATTGCCGATAATGCTTCCCATCCTACCCCTCCAGGAAGCCCCACGGAGTGCAGAGATGGAAGCAGGAGGTGGAAGCTTAGGGGTTTCCACCATCTTGGAGGCCTTCAGATAAGGTGTGGCCACCCACCTGTGGATCAGAATGGGGACCCTGGGGAGAGGGGCTTGGAAAGGATTAAAGCAGAGTTGGAAGGAGGCCCAGGGAAGCCAGGATGCCCAGCTGAGGCCGGCTCAATGCCCAGTCTGAGCTGTAGAGGACTAGCTGAGCTCTGCAGTTTGCAGCCATGTGACCATGGGCCAATTTAACCTTCCTAAGTCACAATTTTCTCCTCTGTAAAATGAGGATAATAGTAGTATGTATCACATAGAGTCATTAAAAATTAAACATGATAATGTATCTAAAAGTGCTTCTTGTACAGTCTGATACGTGTGAAAGATCCATCATCATCAGCAGCATCATCACCATCATTCTCATCATGGTTGCAACAGGACTTGAATTCTGAACATGTGACTCCTGGGACCTGGGAAGCAAAGCTCTCAAATGAAAATGGGGTTAGCTGAAGCGTATATTCACTTTGGGAGGCAGGCACTTCTGAGCAGGATGACACACTGTGGCCTTGTCAAGGGTCTAACCATGGGAAGGAAACAAGTTGCCTCTTGGAAAAAAGAAATCTCACCAGTTTGGGTGAGAGCAGGAACACCGATGCTTGGCCCAAGGACAAGGTCCAGAGCTGGAGAAGATTAAGGTGGTTGTGAATACAAGATGAAGACCTTTATCAGCCTGCTGCCCTTAAGCGCATGTAAGTTAGAAGACAGTAAGAAAAATCTTTCCTGTAACAAAATGGGAGTTCTCTCTAGTGTGCTGGGCACCGTTGCATGGCATGGAGGTGCTATAAGCAACTATGCACTTTGCAGTGGTGGCACCAGGAGCTGCTGAAGAGATAAGACAAACAATGCTCCTGTTCACGCCTGGGGATCAGACCAAAGTCATGGAATTTTTCACCAGGAGCAGCTCAGCCTTGGTGGCTCAGCAGCAGTGACAGCCCTGCAGACATCAAAGGAACTGGGAAAGATTCCCAGCAGGGAGGCAGCACAGAAGAGAAGGAAAATGAGGGAAAAGGTATGATGTTTGGGAGCACATGTACAGTGTTCCCTGGGCATCCTCAGAAAGACTGGAAGGGGGTCCTCGGCTGGGGGTTTCTGGTGGTTCTGGAAGAGCTGTTGAAAGCAGAGTGAGAAAGGAACAGCATGTGCCTGGTTATGATCCCAGTTTTCCCCTCAGGCTGGTGTGGCCTAGGAAACACACATTGTGGAAGTAAACAAATCACTATTGGGAGGCTTAAAAGATCAAGCATGGCCTTGCCTCCTTTTACAAACACTCAGACATGCAAACTGGTGTCATTTTAAGCAGCTTTCTCAACAGAGCAGGGTATGCAAAGCTGCATGTCGGATATGATAGTGGGTCGGGACGTCAACATCAATCTAGTGAGTGCAAGTAGAATTTGAAAAGTAAAATCATTTTGAATAAAAATTAGAGCATATCGCATCAGTAAGGATAACTATTGCCTTGTGAAGCCTTTGTTTCCATTCTTTGTGTATGTATGTAGGCACAGTTGTGATATAAATTGTGCTTCTTTCAGTTAACAACCAAAAAAAAAAAAAAAAAAGAAAGAAAAGAAAACTGCATTAGAGGATGCTAAAGATTCTCTCCCAACCCAGGAGTCCCAAATGGCAGGGAAATGATCTGGACTCCAATAAATTTCACTTACTGGTTTAAGTTAGCAATTAGACTTGTTGGAATATTGTTTCTGTTCTTCACTGGCTGTTTGAACTTGGGCAAGTTGCTTAGCTTCTCTGTGCCTCATTTGCAACATTAATAAAGTAAAAATAACAATACTATCTCTGCATTGTTGATATTAGGATGAGTGATGATGTATATGGAGAGAATGTTGCAAAATGGCATTCCACTGGAAATAAATGGGAAGGGGGTCAAGGGACGTATCTTTAAGATTATTTAGCAGTAGTGGGTCATTAGGACTCTTTGGTTGCAAGTGGTAGACACTGACTCTGCCAACGCAAGCGTAAAAGGACCTTGTTGCCTTGGTGATAGAGTGACTCACAGAATCCAAGGAAGGGTTGACCAAGGAGGATTTGAATGAAGGAACTTGTGAGAACTTGGGAATCTATGTGGCAGGAGCTAATGGATGATGCCCTCTGACAAATCTAGTCCAGCTTATTCTTATTCCCATGTTCCTCACCAAAAGATAGAGTATGATGGACTGAGCTTGGGTCAGGCGCCCTGCCCATTGCCCTGGAAAAATGGAGCAGCTTGACTGGCAATCTCACCAAGAGTGCACATGGTGGGAGAGAGGTGGTTCCACGAAGGCAAGTTGGGGACCGCTGTCAGCAGAGAGAGCAGAGGCTGGGCAGGTGACATCCAGGGACACTCATTCGAGTAGGTGCACCGTGCTCTGATAGCTAATTTCATTGGCCTTTGCCCCTAACTCAACCTCATGGTCTTAAAGAGAAATGACCAGAAGACAATTTAGACAGATATGAATACTTTTGCCAAGGACAGCTAACCTCTGATGTTCTAACTGTGGAATCAGGGGATTTTTACCTCTTACAGTACATGAGAATAGAAATTGGGCCAAGAAAGGAGTTCAGAAGTAATAATAATGAAAGCTGACTCATAAAATGCATATTATGTGCCAGCTGCCACTCTAAAGCACTTTACATATATTGACTTACTTAATCCTCATAACAATTCCATGGGCTAGATATTACTATTATTTGCCCTATATTAGCAGAAAAGGAAACAGAGGGTCAGAGGTTAAGTTGTTGGCCCAGGGTCCTGTAGCTAGTGAGAGTTGGTGCTGTGATCGAAACTAGGTGTCCTGGCTCTGACCTCCACAGTGTTAGCCACTGCTGGACACTGCCCCTCTGATGGGCTGTGTAGAATGAGAGATGCTGTGAGCTGCTTTGGAGCTGGTAGCGCCTCACTGGCTGGGCACTACTATTGTACTACAATTCCCAGCATGCAACTGGGCTGGCTATCATCTTAACCCCTTCTTCACCAAAAATTCCTCACTGTCTTGGGTAAAATCTTTTTTATTGGCAAAATCTGATCTCCCTCATGGATAATTATGCAATTGAGGCATAAATGTAGATATAAGTGGCAGTTGATAGTGAAGAGGGTAAGATTCTAAGCTAAAATATCCTCTGTATTTTTTAGTATTTGAAGGAATTCATTGGAGATGACTATGGGAACATTTTTTTTTAACTTAGAAATGTGTACTAGGAAAACGTCAATGGGGATGTTTTAAAGAGCTCATTCTCAATCTTGGCCACACTTTGGAATCACCTGGGGAATTTAAAAAAAAAAAAAAAAACCTCTTAAAGTTTGGGTCATATTTTTAGAGGTTCTGATTTAATTGGTCTGGGGTGTTACTATTAAAAGTGAAATTCCCCATGTGTAAAAGAGGAGGCATAGCTTCTCATACAGTGGGGGCATATGAGGAAGCATCAGAGCTGGTCAGGGGCCTGGGGGAGCAAGGGGAAAATGCAGACATTGTTGTGATTTCTGCAGGAATGGTAATGCAAGACAGGGTAAACAGGCTCAGCACTGGCTCCTCTGAATAATTTCTGTGAGCTTTGGGGCATTGGGACTGTCCCTAGTTGTCTGGTACCTGGCCCTGGGGTGATTAGAACAGGTGGATGGTGGCCCTGAGAAACAGCCCACTAAAGGAAGTGGTTGGGGGTGACTCTAGATTGGCTGGTTTGCATAGGAAAGATGCGCTTTCCCACGTGAGTCACTTACTGTCCCTCCGAGTTGGCTAACCCTGGGAGGGGCAGTCCCTCCAGGGTCAGCACAGCCCCAGGTGTCACAGCATCAGGATACAGAAAACTTAAAAACATGTTTAATATACCCTCCCACTCTTCAACAGAAAGCAACTGACCAGGCTTAAAGAGAACTGGAAACAGCCTGAAGCCTGGGGAACCATCCCGTTAGGACTGGTGGACTGCGGGGAAGAAAGCAGGAGGGCCAGTGAAACCAGGAGGATTTCAGCCCTGGCCCTATTTAGTTAACTAAGATTCCAAACCTGTCACAGAATGACACTCAGGCAAATGGGAAGAAAGGCGGCAAGTTCTTCTTTAAAAAGACTCCTTGTAGAGATATCTGCACTCCCATGTTTATTGCAGCACTATTCACAATAATCAAGATATGAAATCAACTTACATGTCCAACAACAGATGAATGGATAGAGAAAATGTAGCATATCTACACCATGGAATACTATTTAGCCATAAAAAAACAGTGAAATCCTGTCATTCATGGCAACATGGATGTTGGAACTGGAGGACATTATGTTAAGTGAAATAAGCCAAGAACAGAAAGTTAAACACCACATGTTCTCATTCATACATGGAAGCTTAAAAAAGATGATCTCATAGAAGTAAAAAGTAGAACAGAGGATACTAGAGGCTGGGAAGGGTAGGGGGAAGTGGGGGAGGGGATAGAGAGAGTTTTGTTAAAGGATGTAAAATTACAGCTAGAGAGGAGGAATAAGTTCTAGTGTTCTATACCACTGCAGAATGACAAAGGTTAACAATAATATAGAGTTTCAAATAGCTAGAAAGAGTATACTGAATGTTCCCAACACAAAGAAATGATAAATATCTGAGATGATGGATATGCTGATTACCCTGACGTATCAAAACATTGCTATGTACCCCATGCATATGTATACTATTTGTCAATTAGAAAATAAATTTCTAAGAAAGCCTCCTTGAAGGCAGTACCCACAATTTATTTATCTGTCTGTGCCCTTGATTAAATGATTGTTACCTAGGAGAAACAGTTAAAATGGTCTTGTAAAAAAGAAAAGTTAGTTTAGAGCTGTGGGCTGGTACTTCACTCTTAAAAAATAGAATTCTTCTTAATTTTTATTACCAAAGTTAAGTATGCTGAATATATACATTACTATACCTATCTTCAGACTCAAGCAGAACCTGAATTAGCCATCGATTGAAGGTTATTGCTTATGTCCCCAAGGGAAGAGCCTCCTCTGGCTCATGCTGGTGGGAGAAACTGAACCAGCTCTGCTTTCTCATCCTGGTTTAATTCCCAGCAAAGGAAAAACAATGTAATTTTCGATGATGATGACAATGACAATGATAACAACAACAATAACTAACCTTTAACACATCCTTGTAATGTGCCAGACACCGTTGTAGATGCATTAGAATCATTACTTCATTTAATCATTGTAACATAGTTTGGTTAATTTGCTCCCATTTTTCATATGAGCAAACTGAGGCATGGAAAGGCTAGGCAGCTTGCCCAAGAATAAGAGTCTGCACTGGCTTAAAAGTGAGGCATTCAGACATTAGTGTCCATGCTCTGAATTGCTCCACAGCACCGTCTCCTTGTATCAGAGTGATTTCCTGGAGCAAAGGCGATCTGATCTTATTCACACAGGGGCAGGCAATAACTGCCTGAGTACAGGACTCCTATGAGGCAAATGGTATTGGAACCCTGAGGTAGTCTAGTTACATAACCAGCATAACCATTGGAAAAGCTGTCACATAAGGGAAGGCTGCCTCTGGGACTAGAAGAAAGAATATGCCAAGATCTGGTTCTGCAATGGATGAAC